TTGTTGCCCCTCGTGGTCCACTACTGTTTCCGCCACTTGGTGGGCCTTGTGGACCACTGCCGCTTCCTCTGATTGGTGGCCCTCGTGGTCCACTACTGTTTCCACCACTTGGCGGGTCTTGTGGACCACTGCCGCTTCCTCCGATTGGTGGTCCTCGTGGTCCACTACTGTTTTCACCACTTGGTGGACCCGGTGGAGATGGTTTTGGTTGTGACTGAGATGATGGTGCTGAAAGTACAGTTACAGCGAGAACTAGCTATAAAGAACAATAGATCAAGTGAAATTTAAAAACAAGTCTAAAGAAAAGATTTTACTAGTGATAATACGATAATGGATTGCATGTTCGTTGGTACTGAGATTCTTCTTATTTTTGACGCCAATCATGTTATGTTATTGAAAATGCGATGCTTTTATAGTTCGTGTCGCCGCGTAAACAACATTTATCGTATTTAATTGAAGCGCCCACAATTTGAAAGAAAAAAGTAATTTTTTTCGTTTTTGTCCTTTCATTTGACCTATTTCATAGCTTTACTTAAGCCGTGCATTTTATTAAAAACGATTTGCATGCTGTTAATTGCAATGTGCATGCCAGGTCTATTTGATTTGTTTTCAGTTACTACCATATATTTAAGGTATAGTGATTATTCATTCAATTATGAAGAAAGAAAAGATTCATGAGAAGATTTGAAGTTTCATTCATTCTTTTCGATCAAGGTCTTTTCTTGTCAGAGTACATTTATACGAAATAGAAAAGCATATATGAGATGGAATTATGTTTATTCAAACTGGCATGACGTTTGAACAGAAAGAACGCATAGAAGTTACGAGAGACGCACCGCTGTTTTACGATATGGCTTATCAATATTATGAAATACGTCCAGCGTGCTTCAATATTTCAATAGAATGATTTTCTGCAATATTTTCTTCATTGAATTTGGTGTCAAATTTTTTATTTGAGAAGTCTTTCTGGATAAGACAGAGATCTTAACTTGAACTTTTCCGTTAAGAATAGTCTTTTTCTAAACATCATTAAATTGATTTTCATATATGAACTTTTTCTATGAATTATTGACGCACAATAAATTTTCGAAGACAATTCCAGGCAGAGGAAATTAATATTCAGATGGAATGAACATACGTATTTGCATTCTTCTGATTTACAAATAATTTTATAATTTCAATAATCAACATTTTTTTGTATATGTTATTTAGATAACAAAACAATAAAACGTTATTTAGAAGATTGATTGGATCTACTTGCTCATTTAGTTAACATTAAATTGTAGCGACAGACAGATGATATCTGACTGGTATGAATTCTTTCTTAGGTGGGACGGCTCCCAACTGATAAATTGCTTTTAAGTCCAAGTAATGTGCATTATGTAGGGTCTACGAAAATTGATCGAACGAAAAATACTCGAACGAAAATTGATCGTTGTAAATTGATCGATACGTAAATTGATCGATACGATTATTGGCCGATACGATTATTGGTCAATATGAAAAATAGTCATGCGTTTAGTTAAAAGGAAATAATCGCTTAAGTAAATTTTCTATTGATACTAATAAGTTAAACAGAGATAAAAAAACATTCAGAGAATGATGGCAATTTTCAAACTAAAAAAGCATATATTTCACTGCTATATGGGAATTACTATAGGCTAAAGATCACTTCAAAGAAACATATTTTTTTATTCTAATTAACTTCTATTACTATAAGATAAATTTACATAATCCAATAAGGATTATGTTAAAAGATTCTTAATAGGTTATATAAAGAGCTATTATAATAGATGGATCTATACTATTTTTTGTAAAATGTCAACATTTACCTTGAGCACTACTCAAAAGAACAAACCTCTATTACTTTCTAAAGGGTTTTCTTACATTATTGATAAAATAACTATTGATAAAACTTATTGGAAATGTGAACATGCTCGAAAACTTAAATGTAAAGGTCGAATTCATACTAATTATATTAATACAATATTGTTATATGAAAATGATAATCATAATCATAGTGGTAATGCAGTTTCAGTTGAAATTAGAATATTTGAAGAAAAAGTTCGTGATCGAGCAATTAATAGTAATGAAACTACCCAAGCTGTTATAGATAATTGTTTGACGAATTTATCAGATTATGCTGTTGCTCGTCTTCCTGACTTCAAACACATTAATTTACGTATCGATCAATTTACGTATCGATCAATTTACAACGATCAATTTTCGTTCGAGCATTTTTCGTTCGATCAATTTTCGCTTTCCCCATTATGTAGACTCAAATAAGTTATGAATACTTTGAAAAGAGATTGTGCGCTAACGAGGGAACCCTTTCAACTGCCCCCCGCCAATTTCAATGAAACTTTATCCATAGATACTACATAGTGCCCTAGTAAAAACTATGAAAGGGTTTCAGTATGAATCGCTTCCTTCAAAAGTTATGGCCATTTTACTGAATTTTCGACCCATTCCTAGGTATTTATCGAACAAATCAAATTATCGAATTTCGACCTGTAATTTTGTCCATAGGTAGGTATAATGACCCTTATAACATTCTGAAATTTTTAGCTAAAAAGAATGTTCTTTTCTGGAGATATTGAGATTTCAAAAAATAGTCGCTTGTCACAGATAGGTCAGAAAAATCGAGTTCACTTGAATACTCAATATCTCGGGAAAAGAACATTCGTTTTAGCTGAAACTTTCAGAATCTTATAAGGATCATTAGACCTACCCATGGACAAAATTACAGGTCGAAATTCGATAATTTGTTTTTTTCGATAAATACCTAGGAATGGGTCGAAAATTCAGTAAAATGACCATAACTTTTGAAGGAAGCGATTCGCACTCAAACCCTTTTAGGATTTTTACTAGGGCACTATGTAGTATCTATGGATAAAGTTTCATTGAAATCGGCGGGGGGGCGGCACCTGAAAAGGTTCTCTCGTTAGCTTATTATTACGGAGATCCTACATTTTACAATAGCTTTTAATGGATGCCGTGGTATCCCTCAGGAACACAAGAAAACTTAGTTTTCAAACTTTGACTTGAAACATAATAAAGAGACAGATCTTAACGAGAGTATTTTTTTGTGAAAGTTTCAAGTCTTTTGATTTACTTCTCTCTTGAAACAAGCAACACTGAAGAGGCTGGTGTACATGAGCGATCTAAAGGACACTTTTACTATAGCTGTATCTTAGCAGGAAAACGACGAAAAGATTTGAAACTTTGGTAGTGCATTAGTCTTGTTAAGACCTGCCTCTTATACAGAGTTTCAAATCGAAATTTGACAATAAGTTTTTGTGGTGCTTCTGAGGGGCCCATAGTATTCACTAAAAGAACACCGTAAAAATGTAGTATCCCCGCAGCAATAAGTTATGAGCACGAACTCTTTTCAAAATATTCATAGCTTATTTGAGCCTACCTAATGCGCGTAGTCTCGACTCAGAAGTAATTGATAAGTTGAGAGACTTTCCTTGGTAGAAAATTTCTACGTATATGCATTATCAGATGGCAAGATCATTAAAAACTGCAATTATTATTAGAATCATTGAATCAATATCAAGTACTGTGTTTAAATCAAATTGTACCGATTTGTAATTATTGTCACTATAATTCATGCTTATGAAATCTCAGCTAATAATAAGAGACTTTTATGTTGTAAACCTTTTATTGATAGCTAAGTCAATGCATTTCTTCTAATAACAGGCATTCATTTGTTTAAATACTCGGTTTGTCTCTATAGATTGATTTGCAAATTCGATCATTCGTATGTAATTCGCACGGATAGATTAGTACATATCGAATCGAAGAGAATTCTATCGAAAACAAGACATGTTTATCTACGTAAAAAAATTAAATTAACGGTAATGTTAAATAGTCTTGAAAAACAAAACGATAGTGACATTTTTTTTTAAATCTTAAATATTATACAATAATTGGTATCCTATGAAAGATGGACTCCCAACATTCACTATGAACAATGAAAGTTTTTAAAAACCTTATTTTCAACCAATATCGTTG